TAACATGGCTTTAGGTTGATGCAGAAAGTAAGTTGCGAGTTTTTTGCGATTACTTTCTTTTTTTTTTTTTTTTTTTTTTTTTTTCTTTTTTAGACGGAGTTTCACTCTTGGTCGCCCAGGGCGGAGTGCATGGCGCGATCTCGGCTTACTGCAACCTTGCCTCCTGGGTTCAAGTGATTCTCCTGCCTCAGCCTCCTGAGGTGCTAGGTTACAGGCATGTGCCGAACCACACTGGCTAATTTTGTATTTTTAGTAGAGATGGGGGTTGCTCCATGTTGGCTCAGCTGGTCTGAACCGCAGCACTTTATTTCAGGGAGGACTCAGAGAGTAAAGATCAGGAATAATTGAAGGGAGATGGTGAGGAATCTAATGGTTGCTTTTAAAATAGAACATTCCTGACTCCCCTACTTTTATTCTTTATTCTTGTGTACTTTCTATACTTCTCATGCATGAAGTCAGATCTGAGAACTGGAAAACAATCATGAAAATGAGTGACCAACAGGGAAAAAAAACATTCATAAGCAGAGAGACAGCACACACTTTAAAAAAGCACGATCTGCTAGGCATGGTGGCTCACACCTAGAATCCCAGCACCCTGGGAGGCTGAGATGGGAAGATCACTTGAGCCCTGGAGTTTGAGACCAGCTAGGCAACAGAGTGAGACTTTGTCGCCACAAAAAATAAAAAAAATGATGGGCGCGGTGGCTCATGCCTGTAATCCTAGCACTTTGGGAGGTTGAGGTGGGCAGATTACCTGAGGTCAGGAGTTCAAAATCAGCCTGGCCAACATGGTGAAACCCTGTCTCTACTAAAAATACAAAAAATTAGCTGGGTGCAGTGGCGCCCGCCTGTAATCCCAGCTACTCTGGAGGTTGAGGCAGGAGAATCACTTGAACCCGGGAGGCAGAGGTTGCAGTGAGCTGCGATCACGCCACTGCACTCCAGTCTGGGCGAGAGAGCTAGACTCCATCTCAAAAAAAAAATAAAAAAATAAAAAAAATTAGCCAGGTGTGGTGGCATGTGCCTGCAGTCCCAGTTACACAGGAGGTGGGAGAATCATTTGAGCCCAGGAGATCAAGGCCGCAGTGAGCTTGATTGTACCACTGCACTCCAGCCTGAGTGATTGAGACCCTGTCTCAAAACAAACAAAGCACATGATTTAAAATAACTCCCAACTAGAAAATATTACACAAACCATAGAATTCTTCAGGAAAATCTATTTCTGTAGATGTAGAAAATTTAAATGTACTTTGTTAGCAAAAACTGAAGTAAAGATAGGCTTCAATATTCATTTGGTCTTTAACTTCATGAATAATTCCAAAAACATGGCACTACCAATCCCGAATCTGCCCTAACAGCATTATACATAATTGTAACAGACACTTTTTTTTTTTTTTTTTGAGACAGAGTCTTGTTCTGTTGCCCAGGCTGGAGTGGCGCGATCTCGGCTCACTGCAACCTCTGCTTCCCAGGTTCAAGCAATTCTCCTGCCTCAGCCTCCCCAGTAGCTGGGATTACAGGTGCACGCCACCACATCCTGCTAGTTTTTGTATTTTTTTTTTGAGATGGAGTTTCGCTCTTGTCGCCCAGGCTGGAGTGCAATGGCATGATCTTGGCTCACTACAACCTCCACCTCCCAGGTTCAAATGATTCTCCTGACTCAGCCTCTCGAGTAGCTGGGATTACAGGCACCTACCACCATGCTCCGCTAATTTTTGTATTTTTAGTAGAGATGGGGTTTCACCATATTGGCCAGGCTGGTCTGGAACTCTTGACCTCAGATGATCTGCCTGCCTTGGCCTCCCAAAGTGCTGGGATTACAGGCATGAACCACTGTGCCCAGCCTAGTTTTTGTGTTTTTTAACCTACAGACAGGGTTTCACCATGTTGGCCAGGCTGGTCTTGAACTCCTGACCTCAAGTGATCCACCCACCTCAGCATCCCAAAGTGCTGGGATTAAAGGCGTGAGCCACCACACTTGGCCAATTGTAACAGACACTTTTTTTTTTTTTTTTTTTTGAGATGGAGTCTTGCTCCATTTACCCAGGCTGGAGTGCAGTGGTGCCATCTCGGCTCACTGCAACCTCTGCCTCCTGGGTTCAAGTGATTCTTCTGCTTCAGCCTCCCAAGTAGCTGGGACTACAGGTGTGCGCCACCATGCCCAGCTAATTTTTCTATTTTTAGTAGAGACGGGGTTTCACCATATTGGTCAGGCTGGTATCGAACTCCTGACCTCGTGATCCGCTGACCTCGGCCTCCCAAAGCGCTGGGATTATAGGCGTGAGCCACCGTGCCCGGCCGTAACAGATACATTTTAAGGCATCTGCCTTCAATGTCCATCTTCTCCAAATATGTGAGTTTGTTTCTCATTGGCCAAAAGTGATTCAAACAGGGCTGCTGTATTTACCAGTTAGGTTGTGTTAACTAGACTTTCCAGGGACTTCAGAACTGGGACACAGTTGTTTTAGTGAGGCACCATGAACCCCTGAAGAGGATGAACTTGTAAGGGACTGGGAGGAGCAAGCACGTTGGAGCCACGTGCAAAACCAGGAAAAACTGACTTGAGAAAGCTGGTATGCAAAGAGGGAAAAAACAAATGGGCCCTGGGCAATGAGAGGTAAGATACCAGGAACTTGGGGCTGTATTTTGTGCCGTTAGGTTCTATGACATTGTCCTTTATTGCTTTGAGTTTGTCTAGATGTTTCTGTTACTTGTAACTCAAAGAACCCCAGTGGAATAATCTATCAGGATCTCCTGAGCCCAAAAGTTCAAGGCTGCAGTGGGCTATGATTGTGTCACTCTACTTCAGCCTGGGCACACAGTGAGACTGTCTCCAAAAAAAAAAGGTGAAGTCCGAAGATGTGACTGAATTGCTGCAATCTCATTGCTGCTTCTTTTTTAGCCTTCCTTCCTTCCTTCTTTTCTTTACTTCTTTCCTCCCTTCCTCCTTCCTTCCTTCCTTCCTTCCTTCTTTCCCTCCTTCCCTCCCTTCCTCCCTCCCAGTATCCTTATCTGTAAGGAGTTGCTTCTTATGGGCAAAGAAAGTGGTTTACTGAGATCAAATCTACTCTGGTAAAGATGCTGTGAACATTGTTTTGAAATGGCAAGAAAGGTTTTTTGTTTTGAAATGGCATCAAACTTAGTTGATAAAGTAGCAGCAGGGTTTTAGAGAATGGACTTCAATTTGAAAGCTCTACTGTGGGCAAAATCCTATCAGCATCAGCATCGCATGCTACAGAGAAATCTTTCATGAAAGGAAGAGCCAATTGATACGGTAAACTTCATTGTTATCTTATTTTAAGAAACCACCAGTCACCCCAGCCCTTAGCAATCACCACCACAGCCCTCGGCAATCACCACCCTGATCAGTCAGCAGCCATCAATATCAAGGCAAGACCCTCCACCAGCAAAGATTACAACTTGCTGAAGGTTTAGATGATTATTAACATGTTTTAGCAATAAACTATTTTCTTTCTCTTTTTTTTGAAATGGAGTCTCACTTTGTTGCCCAGGCTGGAGTGCAGTGGCACGATCTTGGCTCACTGCAACATTTGCCTCCCCAGTTCAAGTGATTCTCCTGCTTCGGCCTCTTGAGTAGCTGGGACTACAGGTGCCCACCACTATGCCTGCATAATTTCTTGTATTTTTCTTTAGTAGAGATGGGGTTTCACCATGTTGCCTAGGGTAGTCTTGAACTCCTGATCTCAAGTGATCCATCCGCCTCGGCCTTCGAAAGTGTTGGGATGACAGACGTTAAGCCATTGTGTCCGACCAATAATGTATTTTTATTTATTTTTTTTGAGATGGAGTCTCGCTCTGTGGCCTAGCTGGAGTGCAGTGGCGCAATCCCGGCCTCCTGAGTTCAAGCAATTCTCCTACCTCAGCCTCCTGAGTAGCTGAAATTACAGGTGTGCACCACTTTTTGTACTTGAGCCCGGCTAATTTTTTTTGTATTTTTAGTAGAGACGGGGTTTCACCATGTTGGTCAGGCTGGTTTTGAACTCCTGACCTCGTGATCCGCCCACCTTGGCCTCCCAAAGTGCTGGGATTACAGGTATGAGTCACCCCACCAGCCTGCAATCATATTTCATTGGTTTATGCAATTGTGTATTAAATTTAATAATCACAACACAAGTGTAAGCTACCATTCGAGACCAGCCTGGGCAACGTGGTGAAACTCTTCCTTTCACTTGAACACACAGAGGACACTGTAGAGTATGAAGTGGCCTAATTGCAATATTGTGTCTTAGAGAACAGGGAGACCAGAGGAGAGGGAGAGAAATGGGGGAATGGCCGGTTGGTGGAGCAGTCACAACACATGCGTTTGTTAAGTTGACCGTCTTACACAGATGTGATCTGTGGAACCCCAAACCAAGTACAACAGTAACATCACACGCTATAACATATTAATAGTAAAAAAGTCTGAAATATTCTGAGAATCACCAAAGCATGACACACAGACACTAAGTGAGCATATGGTGGTGGAGAAACAGCACTGGTAGGCTTGCTTGATGCAGGGTTACAACAAACTTTCAATATATGAATGGATACCACATCTGTACAGTGTGATAAAGTGAACTGCAATAAAATAAGGTATGCTTGTTATCAGTAAATCTTTTACTTTTAGACCATAAGAAAACAGACCATATAATAAGAACACAGACAGAGACCTTGATTTTTAGGAGAACCTTTTCCCTTTAATCAGTGGAAATTCCCAATAGGAGCCATTTTACTCACCTGGACCAGCTCTATAGCTGTGGAAGAAAAATCACAGCAGTAAACAAAGAGTCCTGGGTCACTGAAATGGGCAGAAAAGACAGAACAATGAGACTACAAATTGAGCTATGTCTACTCTCATTCTTGTGTGGTAGAGTTAAAATATCAAACGGGAAAAACCATCATTCATTCAAATAAACTGTATCTATTAGTCACAACATATTTCATTTTGGTTAAAATCCTTTTTCAATTATATCCTTTTGGAGGCTGTGTGGACATAGCTAATATGAAGTTTATAAAACAACCAGTGAGTTCCAAATCAATGTCTTCTCTTTTTCCATCTACAGAAATCCTACGTTTCCCTCAAATGAAGCCTTGCTTGATAGCACCACCAGAATTCTTTTTTCTCCGCTCTGAGCTACCTTGGCACTTTCTCCACACCAGGAACACATCTGTACCTGTCTGTTGGCCCCCACCACATAGTGGGTGAGTGCTGTGACAGCAGAGATTACACTTCTCGCTTATTAGTTCACCAAACACTACTGTGGGTCCACTATGTATTGGGTATTATCTTAGATGCTGAGGAGATAAAGACGAACAACACAAAATCCCTGTGCTTATTTCTCTTGGTATCCTCACTATCTAGCACAAGTCTCAGCACAAGGTAGCAATACAAAAAATGTTGATTTTAAAACCATCAAAATTGCTTCCATTATGAAGCATATTATATATTTATTCTGAAGACATCAAAATGCAAAACAATTTGTAATGCCAGAATTCTTTTTGTCAGGACAGGTCTAAATAAAAATGGGAGAGGAGGAAGGCTGTATGCTTGTGTTTTAGAAACAACAGCCCAGAGCTCTTCTGCACTGTTGGGCTCATTCTTTGAGAGACCCTGGGATTTTTGGGAGTATGCAATACCTCCAGCTTCTCAAAGGCATGGCTCTGCTTCCAACTTTTGGGAGGTATAATCAAGACTAAAAACCTGGGAAGCTGCAGCATTTGCTGTGGTAATCACTAGCTACCTGTGGCTATTTAAATTAAAAATTCAGTTTCTCAGTCCTATTAGATACATTTCACACGTGGCTAGTGACTGCCATAAGGGCAGTAGAACATTTCCATCACTGCACAAAGTTCTATTCCACAGTACTGCTCTGGAAGCTGGGGCCATGCCTGTCCCGCTCTTGAATCAGCCAGGCAGCTGCATCTGCCGAGTACCCATTAAGGTCATGGGCTAAGTTCTATCAGACTCAGCTTCTGCTTTCTAAAACACTCATTGCAGTGTTCACCTCCTGGGTTCAAGTGATCCTCCTACCTCAGCCCCCCAAGTAGCTGGGATTACAGGTGCGCACCACCATGCCCAGCTAATTTTTGTATTTTTAGTAGAGATGGGGTTTCACCATGTTGGCCAGGCTAGTCTCAAACTCCTGACCTCAGGTGATCCACCTGCCTCGGCCTCCCAAGGTGCTGAAATTACAGGCATGAGCCACTGTGCCTGGCCTTTTTTTTTTTTTTTTTTTTGACATGAGGTCTCACTCTGTCACCCAGGCTGGAGTGCAGTGGCGTGATCTCAGCTCACTGCAGCCTCTGCCTCCTGGGTTCAAGTGATTCTGCAGCCTCAGCCTCCCGAGTAGCTGGGACTACAGCTTCCCAACACCATGCCGTTAATTTTTGTATTTTTAGGACAGACAGGGTTTCACCATGTTGGTTAGGTTGGTCTTGAACTCCTGACCTTGGCTTCCCAAAGTGTTCAGATTACAGGCATGAGCCACCACACCTGGCCTCTTTGTGCTTTTATTTATTTATTTATTTTTTGAGATGGAGTTTTGCTTTTGTCGCCCAGGCTGGAGTGCAATGGCATGGTCTCGGCTCATTGCTACCTCTGCCTCCTGGGTCCAGGCCATTCTCCTGCCTCAGCTTCCTGAGTAGCTGGGATTACAGGTGCCTGCCACCATGTCTGGCTAATTTTTGTATTTTTAGTAGAGACAGGGTTTCACCATGTTGGCCAGGCTAGTCTCAAACTCCTGACCTCAGGTGATCCACCTGCCTCGGCCTCCCAAGGTGCTGGAATTACAGGCATGAGCCACTGTGCCTGGCAAGTGTTGTTTTCTTCTTTATGCTTTTCTTTTTTTTTTTTTTTTGACATGAGGTCTCGGCTCTGTCACCTAGGCTGGATGGTAGTAGGGTAATCTCAGCTCACTGCAGCCTCTGCCTCCTGGGTTCAAGTGATTCTGCAGCCTCAGCCTCCCGAGTAGCTGGGACTACAGCTTCCCAACACCATGCCGTTAATTTTTGTATTTTTAGGACAGACAGGGTTTCACCATGTTGGTTAGGTTGGTCTTGAACTCCTGACCTTGGCTTCCCAAAGTGTTCAGATTACAGGCATGAGCCACCACACCTGGCCTCTTTGTGCTTTTATTTATTTATTTATTTTTTGAGATGGAGTTTTGCTTTTGTCGCCCAGGCTGGAGTGCAATGGCATGGTCTCGGCTCATTGCTACCTCTGCCTCCTGGGTCCAGGCCATTCTCCTGCCTCAGCTTCCTGAGTAGCTGGGATTACAGGTGCCTGCCACCATGTCTGGCTAATTTTTGTATTTTTAGTAGAGACAGGGTTTCTCTATGTTAGCCAGGATGGTCTCGATCTCCTAACCTCGTGATCCACCCGCCTCAGCCTCCCAAAGTGCTGGGATTACAGGCGTGAGCCACTGCGCCCGGCCGTAAATAGTTATGTTTTAAAAAATTGTTGTATTATTTCTGAGACAGGGTCTTGCTCTGTCACCTGGAGTACAGTGGTGTGATCATGGCTCACTGCAGCCCCAACCAATCCTCTGGCCTCAGCCTCCAAAGTAGCTGAGACTACAGGTGCATGCCAGCATGCTTGGCTAATTTTTAAGTTTTTGTAAAGACAAGGTCTCACTATGTTGCTCAGGCTCGTCTTTAACTTCTGGGCTCAAGTGATACTATCTCCTTGTCCTTCCAAAGTGCTGGGATTATAGGCATGGGCCACTGTGCCCAGCCTGTACTATTTATTTTCAATCCAAGGTTGCTTGAATCCTTGGATGCAGAACAGGTGAATATGAAGGGCTGAGAGTATTACTTTTAAAATCAGAGTCCTTAATTGGGATCTGAGGATAGAACTGCATTTCAAAATAATTGGTTTTCTCTATTTTACTTCATATACTTAAAATTAGCCCAAGATAAATCTATATAGAGATCCGTGCATTTGTAGAGTAGTGGTTGCTTAGGGCTAGAGGCTGGGGGAAATCGGGAAATGGGGAGTGACTGCTAATGGGTATGGGGCTTCTTTTTGGGGTGAAGAAAGTGTCCTGAAGCTGACTGCAGTGATGGCTGCACAACTCCGTGAATTAACTTAAAACCACTGTATTATGGTCGGGCGCGGTGGCTCACGCCTATAATCCCAGCACTTTGGCAGGCTGAAGTGGGTGGATCACAAGGTCAGGAGTTCGAGACCAGCCTGGCCAACACAGCGAAAACCCGTTTCTACCAAAAATACAAAAATTAGCTGGGCATGGTGGCGGGCGCCTGTAATCCCAACTACTCGGGAGGCTGAGGCAGGGGAATTGCTTGAAGATGGGAGGTAGAGGTTGCAGTGAGCCAAGATTGTGCCACTGTACTCCAGCCCGGGCGACAGGGCAAGATGCTGTCTCAAAAAATTAGCAGGGGTGGTGGCACACGCCTGTTGTCTCAGTTACTTGGGAGGCTGAGGTGGGAGGATCAACTGAGCCCAGGAAGGCTGAAGCTACAGTGAGCTGTGATGGCACCACTGCATTCTAGCTTGGGTGACAGAGAGCCTGTCTCAAAAAAAAAAAAAAAAAAAAAAGGCAATAAGGGTATCAAGAAACATAAAAAGGCTGTAAAGACTGCAGAGTGGGCTGGGCGTGGTGGCTCATGCCTGTAATCCCAGCACTTTTAGGAGGATGAGGTGGGTGGATCACCTGAAGTCAGGAGTTCGAGACCAGCCTGGCCAACATAGTGAAAGCTTGTCTCTACTAAAAAAATACAAAAATTAGGCTGGGCATGGTGGCTTACACCTGTAATCCCAGCACTTTGGGAGGCCGAGGTGGGCGGATCATAAGGTCAGGAGATTGAGACCAGCCTGACCAACATGGTGAAAGCCTGTCTCTACTAAAAATACAAAAAATTAGCTGGGCGTGGTGGTGGGCACCTGTAGTCCCAGCTACTCGGGAGGCTGGGGCAGGAGAATGGCGTGAACCTGGGAGGTGGAGCTTGCAGTGAGCTGAGATTGCGCCACTGCACTCTAGCCTGGGAGACAGAGCAAGACTCCGTCTCAAAAACAAACAAACAAAAAAAACCACCAACAACAAAGCAAAAATGAGCCAGGTGCGGTGGCTCACACCTGCAATCCCAGCACTTTGGGAGGCTGAGGTGTGTGGATCACCTGAGGTGAGGAGTTTGAGACCAGCCTGACCAACATGGAAAAATGCCGTCTCTACTAAAAATACAAAATTAGCTGGGTGTGGTGGCACATGTCTGTAATCCCAGCTACTCGGGAGGCTGAGGCAGGAGAATCGCTTGATCTCACGAGGTGGAGGTTGTGGTGCGCCAAGATTGCGCCACTGTACTCCAGCCTGGGCAACAAGAGCAAAACTCAGTCTCAATCAATAATACAAAAATTAGCTGGGTGTGGTGGTGGGGACCTGTAATCTCAATTACTTGGGAGGCTGACGCAGGAGAATTGCTTGAACCTGGGAGGTGGAGGTTGCAGTGAGCCGATATTGAGTTACTCCAGCCTGGGTGACAGAGTGAGACTCTGTCTCAAAAAAGACTGCAGAGTGATGCAGCTGGATGACATCAACTAGGGAAGTTTTCTAGATGCTTCTGATCTAGAATATGAGGAAGGAAGGAAATAGTGTAGTAGAAACAAAGGACATTTTGGAAAGGTATGGAATCAGGGGAAGACATGCAAGGTGTGACCAGTGCACTGAGGGATAAGAGGACATACTTTATAGGGCACATTCTTGCAGAGGACCTTGAAAACTATGCCCAACAATTTAAAAACCTGATTCACAGGCAGTAGAAAACATGTCAATTCTGAGCCAGTGAATTACATGAACAAGTGGGTTCTAGCAAGATATTGAACACAGCGATCTTACTTAAATGGCATAAAGAGGCTGTGGCAAAGATGCCATCTGAACTGCCATTCAGTTTTACATTCATTGATGATATTGATGATTAATGGCCATAACTTGAAGCTAAGTCAATCTCCCATTTGAGGTGGGTTCCTCAGAGTGTAACTTCAAGAGCAGAACAATCTCTTTTCTTCAGTGTTAGCTACTAGGACTGCCATTTTCTTAGAAATTTCTGAGAACAAATTGTAGAAATATTTAAATGTATATTGGTAATGAGGCTAATGTTTTACTCAATCCTGTTAATGAATACCGTGGACTAAATTGGTAAAGTATATATTATACGAAACCTTTGAGAAACTGGATTCCAATAATGAATACAGAACTGGAATGTCATTTCCACAAGGGGTTTAAAAACAGTTATAGGGCCAGGAGCCATGCCTCACGCCTGTAATCCCAGCACTTTGGAAGGCAGAGGCAGGTGGATCACTTGAGGTCAGGAGTTCGAGACCATCCTGACCAATACAGTGAAACCTTGTCTCTACTAAAAATACAAAAATTAGCTGGGCATTGTGGCGCATGCCGGTAATCCCAGGTATTTGGGAGGCTGAGGCAGGAGAATCACTTGAACCCAGGAGGCAGAGGTTGCAGTGAGCCAAGATTATGCCACTGCACTCCAGCCTGGGTAACACAGCAAGACTCCTTCTCGAACAAAACAGGTATGTTATAATAAATATATCTGGTGTTGGTCTTTGTGGTTCCAGGTACAGGATTCCAAAAACCTTAAGAATTTCCTTAGCAAGATGGGCATCGTGGCTCACACCTATAATCCCAGCACTTTGGGAGGCTGAGGCAGGTGGATCACCTGAGGTCTGGAGTTCGAGACCAGCCTGGTCAATGTGGTGAAACCCCATCCCTACTAAAAATATAAAAATTAGCTATGTGTGGTGGTGTGCACCTGTAATCCCAGCTACTAGGGAGGCTGAGGCAGGAGAATCACTTGAACCCAGAAGGCCTAGGTTGCAATGAGCCGAGATCGTGCCACTATACTCCAGCCTGGGTGATGAAGCAAGACTCCATATCTTTCGTTATTCATAATGAACTCCCCCAGGACCACACTGAATTTATGTTAATGAGACGACCTGGGGTGGGGCCAACACCAGGAAGGGTAAATAGACTGGAACTTTCTTTCAGCTTCACCCACCAACATCCTGAATAGAAATGCAGATTATGTTGTATGAAAACTATTACCTTCTTCTCCTTTTAAAGTTAATTTTCCCGTAAGTCTGTATCCTAGCGTATAAAAACTCTTGAGGTTGGGAATGGTGACTTATGCATGTAACTCCAGTACTTTGGGAGGCCGAGGCAAGAGGATCACTTGAGCCCAGGAGTCTGAGACCAGTCTGGGCAACGAAGTGAGATCCTGTCTCTACAAAAAATAAACAAAAATTAGCTGGGCATGGTGGCATGTGTCTGTAGGCCCAGCTACTTGGGAGGTTGAAGTGAGAGGACTGCTTGAGCCTAGGACTTTCAGCCTGCAGTGTGCTCTGGGTGCACCACTGTGCTCTAGTCAGGATGACAGAACAAGAGCTTGTCTCAAAACAAAAAAAACTCTTGATGAGCTTCCAGGTTGGTGAACACATCCGTGTGCTAGGAGGGCCCTGCACTGAGCTCCTCAGGGACAAAGCTCCTGAGTGTGAGATCCTGTGAACTACACCCTAATTATTTCTTCAGCTGGCTGTTAATCTGTATCCTTCGTAACAAACACATAAATGTAAGTGAAGTGTTTCCCTGAGTTCTGTGAGTCATTCTAGGCAATTATTGAACTGGAGATAGGGCTCCCCTGATTTACAGCCTGCAGGGCAGAAACACGGAGGGCCAGATTCACAACTGGCATCTGAAGTCAGGGGCAGTCTTCTGGGACCAAATCCTTAACTTGTGCAATCTGATACCAACTCCAAGTAGACAGTGTCAGAATTAATTCAATTCTGGACAATTCTAGGACACCCAGCTGTTGCTGAATTGGTCAGTGTTGGCAAAAACCCCGCACATTTGGTGTCAGAAGTGTTCTGTTTAAGTACACAAAACAGAGTGTTTTCATCAGAACAGGAGACATCTTCATGTATGTTAGCTTTCTCAACTCTACCATGGGGGTGATGACAACTCAGCCGCTGACTGTTCTTCAGAGATCACGAGAATGGAAAAGGTGAACACATTTGTTCCTTAGAAGGTGGCACTACATGTTACACTATCAAGTTTTAAGTCTACTTTTCCAAATGACAAAGATAATCAAATTCAATCAATCCATAAATGAATAATGTAGAAATCTGAATTTGACATAATCCATATTTTCCAATAACCATTACTGATAGTTTGATGTAGCAAGTTCTGAAAAAAACCTTTACTTTTTTTTCTTGCTACATTGCCCTGGCTGGTCTCACACTCCTGGCCTCAAGCAATCCTGCTTTGGCCTCCCAAAGTGCTGGGATTACTGTTGTGAAGCAATGCACCCAGCCAACCTTCACTTTTATCTTCTTTGCTATCATAAACTTTTACAACATACTTACTTGTTCGTTTGTAAAATTGGAAAGACTGTGTTTCCCACACCACAACCAACCTGCAGACAGAAATGAACTATTAATCACAGAACTTTCCAGAGTTAATTCCCTAAAGCTAGAAAAATAATAATCAACAAGAAGCTGGCCTAACTGTATTAGGGAAGCTGTAGTGACCAGAGCTAAACAGTACCCATGACATTTGTTGATTTCGATCTTGACTTCAGGAACCCTTAAAAAGACAAGAGCATGGGTTTTCATTAGCAGAAAGGAGCTGGTCTAGAAAAAACGACAAGGATTGCTTTTATCTTTTGAGTTCTAGCAAGTGGTCCTGTAGATGAAGTATTTTCTTACTGAGCTTATATTGTTAGTGTGAAAATATTTGTAATCAACTGTGCTGAAAAATGTATGAAAAGGGGACCTTGGCAACCTTGTCCTAAACACAGCGCTGTGTGGTAATGAAGACAGCAACTATTCACTAAAGGCTTAACTATGTGCCAGATATTGTTCTTAGCCATTTTACGTACATTATATCCATCCTCGTAACTACAAGGTGCAGAGGCAGCAGTCTCACTGCTCAGAGAGGGTAAGGAAATTGTCTAAGATCACACCATAGGACTCAATCCCAAGGTTAACCAGTTTCAGAATCAGCTTCCAGTAACGTGTGCAGTCCCCATTTATGAATTTATATTATACCAATCTAGACACTTTTCCAGGTCTAGACTCTGCTACACTATCCAAACGCAGAGGAAGAGAATTATCCCAGGCCTAAGACACAGGCACCATCCTAACTACCCTCTTTGTTCCTGTAAACTGTATTAGAGGAGAAGCAACAGTTTGTCTTCTGATCTGGGACTTTCTTACAGGGTTATAGCAATGATCATGTTGAGCTCTTTCACCTGTATGATGCAGTGGCATGTGACAGGTACAGCATGATGCTATTAATACAATTTTTGGAAGTGACATGCTATTCCCATGTGATCTTTGTCCATCATGACCACCAGATATCTGGCCTGCACTGAGGGCATTTTATCAGTTCAAAAATGGAGGTAGTTCCAGGCTAATAAAAGGGTCAAGTCTAGTCAGCATCATCCAATATTGTCACCCTCTCTATGCTACTTCACGTGCTCAAATATAACAGCTTCACATGCCCCACTACCGAGACAATAAAAGGTTACCTCCAGTATTCGGTAGGTGGCTGAGGATCCAGGAAACTCATCAGCACAGATTTCCAGGTCACTAATTTTCTGAGTTACATTCTCCTCCACAGGAGGTGTCTCTGTTTTATGTTCAAGGCTCTTCGAAGAACACTTGTGCTGTTCTTCCATTATTAAACTAGGTCCATCCTCATTGTTTCTACATTCAGGTACTTCACTCCTCTTGTTCTCCAAGAACCAATCCTTCAAATGATTTTGATTCTGGCTAGGTGCCAGCTCAGGGAATTCGGTAAAAAGCCAATGTCTATCCTTGAAAAACCCATTTTCATGGATTTTGTAGAAGTTATTCCAGTATTTGTGGGCATTGATCTCATAATCAACTGTAAATATTTAAGAAAGAATTTTAAGAACCAGCTCTCAAATATTTTATTTATATCTAATGTCAATTATCCTGCTTTACCAAATGTCACTTTAATACTAAAAGTATCCTCAGGTAGAGCCACAGTCCCAGAGCTGAAGGCCTTTCTGAGGTCATTTAGTCCTGCCATCTGGCATTATACCTGAAAGGCCCTATTCGTCATTACAGGAGAGTCTAAATTCTGTTTAAACAATCAACCAGAGAACTTACTACCTATCAAGTATCCTCCTACACCTTTGGATGACTTTTTTTTTTTTTTCCCCCTGAGACAGAGTCTCTGTCGCCCAGGCTGGAGTGCAGTGGTGCGATCTCGGCTCACTGCAAGCTCTACCTCCCGGGTTCACGCCATTCTCCTGCCTCAGCCTCCTGAGCAGCTGGGACTACAGGCGCCCGCCACCATGCCCGGACAATTTTCTGTATTTTTTAGTAGAGACAGGGTTTCACCGTGTTAGCCAGGATGGTCTTCATCTCCTCATCTTGTGATCCGCCTGTCTTGGCCTCCCAAAGTGGTGGGATTACAGGCATGAGCCACCGCGCCCGGCTGGATGACTTTTAATTATTAAAAAATCCTAGAAGTAGCCAGGTGCAGTGGCTCATGCCTGTAATCCCAGCACTTTGGGAGGCTGAGGCGGGCAGATCACGAGGTCAGGAGATTGAGACCATCCTGGCCAGCATGGTGAAACCCCATCTGTACTAAAATACAAAATATTAGCCAGGCGTGGTGGTGCATGCCTGTAGTCCCAGCTACTCCAGAGGCTGAGGCAGGGCAATCGCCTGAACTGGGGAGGAGGAGATTGCTGTGAGCTGAGATCTTGCCACTGCACTCCAGTCTGGTGACAGAGCAAGACTCCGTCTCCAAAAAAAAAAGATGTATGGACAGTTTAAATGAAAGCTGTTTTTAAGGTGACCATGACAATCCCAGATTTCAGTTTACTGCTCTTGCCGATTCAGGGGGCCTTGACTAGTGTAGTACAAAGGATAAAACCTAACAAATTGAGCAGGACAGTGACAATGGAAGGTAGAATCCAATAAGGAGTGAGTTAACAATTCACAACTCACTTGCTGAATCAACCAAGACTCCCTAAGAAATTGGATTTTAGTTCCACTGCTGCTACTACTGACTGCTTACCTCTGGGAAAAGCACTTAATGTCCTGTGGTCCAAGTGTCTTTAACTATAAAAAGAGAATATTGAACCATATGATTTTCAAAATCCCTTTCAACTCTTTAACTTGCTTTGATTTAGTTGCTGTCAAACTATGCAGGGTGAATGTTTTGTAACTGGAATCTTCTTGTACAGAACTCTTTCAGAGGGTACTAAATTTGTAGTCCTATCTTCAACTGTCTGGAACAATCAGTCTTAGTTTTAGTATCTAGGGATATTTTGCAGTGAAATCATCCACCTCTCAAGCAGGGGCCTCCTTTTCTTTGGTCAGACTTAATCTCCACTCTGTTGCATCCACCTTTCCTTGACTGAAGCCCTAAATTCTCATAACCATCACACAAGTAACAGACACACAGTCACCAGTCATTAGCCCCCCTCCCAACAATATTTAGAATGTAATCACTTAAATGAAGCTTCAATGGAAACATCTCCTCATGGAAAGTGCAAATCATGTAGAAAGTACAGGCTCCAAGATGATCGCGTGACCACACAGTCGTCATTGGCTAGCCATATCAACGTGGGTCTAGTCAACATAATTAAAGACAAAATTACCCTCCTCCAAAGTAAAACTATATATATAAAAAACCCTCTACGACTTAACAAGATTTTGTTACAATGCAGCCCTTTTCCCTCCTTGCTCATCCCCTCCCCGTCCCGCTCTACTCCTGAGATCTGCATCAGGCCAGTAATAAAGGACCTAGGCGGCCGCGGTTCTCTGGCCTCTCCGGGAGGGCGCGTTCGGCAGTACGCTGGCTGTTGATACTACTGAGAGCCCATTTAAGCGCACCTTGTTTCTCCTGGCACACCCGCTGGGTACTGTTCTCCTGGACTTTTCTCTCCGCCGCTGCGGCTTGCTCTTCTGACCACTCCACATTGTCCCTGAGAAAATCAAATGGGCAGCTTAGGGGCCTCACGTCCTGGCTGCGGGCAGGGTGAGTCGCTGGCCTACGAGTTTCTCTCCCCTTGGAGAGTGCCTCAGGGCAGCTGGACTCGTAGCCGGCCGTCAGGGGCTTTTCGGAGGGCTCCGAGGCGGCGGGACAGAGGGCGAGCGACACGCCGGGGGAGGGGCAGGGTGATTACCAGGCATTGTGGTGGAAGACACGCGCCGGATCGCTCAGGAACCGGTTCCCAAACTGCTGCCTCTTATCGGCGAGGACTGCAGGCGCACCTTCAGGGTAGGAGCCGGCCATGACACCGGAGCCGGAAACACTTAGCTTTCGGTAACGCGAGAACTTGCTACGGGCCACTCCCTCTTCCAGAAGACGCTGAGTCTGGGCGGGAAAAACGGTGGCGGGGCAGGGCGGCCCTGGAGCCCGGTACGGGTGGAGCCTGGGAGCTGTCGTTTGGGGCTGCCCCAGGGTTGGCGAAGGGCTCTCTAGGGAAGGGGACCAGGCAGGGGGAAATTCTCCCCGGAGTCGTTTCTCATTGATGAGGTGCTGATGGACGTGCAGGTTAGGCAGAAAGTGGGAGACATTCCACTTGAGCCCCAGTTCAATGCTGGGATCCTCTAACAGGTTCCCTAGCTTCCCTCAAGTTGTAAAACAGGAAAAATCTAGAATCATTGTAAGAGTTGAGGCTACCTGGTTCCACTATGGAGCCGATGTCCAGAACTGAAGAAGGTAGCAAGCAGTGGGAAGAAACCGGGCAATTTCCAGCTTCTGTGGTCAGCTCTTCATAGTGTGGGTGTATATGTATACACAATGTGTATATATATTTTGGTTGGGGTAGGGGAAGATGGAGATATGAAATTAGAGAACACAAGGCTTAGCAAATCAAATGGAATATCCAAGGACAAGTTTTTTTTTTTTTTTTTTATTATAACCATCTAACCTTTTTGAATCATCTGTATTATATTTATTATAATTATCCTTATTAGCACAATTAAGATTGTAATACACACATACATAGTTTGTCATAGCAATACATTTCAGCCTTACATTTCTATTTCTAGATCTAATACAAAATGACTCTCAAAAGAATCTAAAAGAAAGTATGTTATAGACATAATGGTATTTGAGAAGACTTCCAAGAGAAGCATGATGAATACCACTTGGAAAAGAAGGAAAGGGCAGAGACCAAACAAGGACCACCCCAATACCTCTTGGACTTTATTTAATGTCATAATGTCAGAATAAAGGGAAAGATGAATTTTTTAAAAAAAGAAGGAAAGGGTTAGTGCAGTGCTAGACGTATTATATTGGTAATTAGTACTTTTTTTTTTTTTGAGATGGAGTCTTGCTCTGTTGCCCAGGCTGGAGTACAGTGGCCGGATCTCAGCTCTCTACAACCTCCATGTCCTGGGCTCAAGTGATTCTCCTGCCTCAGCCTCCTGAGTAGCTGGGATAACAGGTGTGTGCCACCACACTCAGATAATTTTTGTATTTTTAGTAGAGATGGGGTTTCACCATTTTGGCTGGGCTGGTCTCGAACTCCTGACCTCAAATGATCCGCCTGCCTTGGCCTCCCAAAATGCTGGGATTACAGGCATGAGTCACCACACCTGGCTTTTTTTTTTTTTTTTTTTTTGAGATGGAGTCTTGCTCTGTCACCTAGACTGGAGTTCAATGGTGCGACCTGGGCTCACTGCAAACTCTGCCTCCCTGGTTCAAGTGATTCTTGTGCATTAGCCTCTGGGGTAGTTGGGATTATAGACACCTGCCACCACTCCCGGCTAATTTTTGTATTTTTTTGTGTTTTCCTTAGGGATGGGGTTTCACTACGTTGCTTAGGCTGGTCTGGAATTCCTCACCTCAAGTGATCTGCCTGCCTTGGCCTCCAAAAGTGCTGGGATTATAGGCGTGAGCCACTGGGCCTGGCCAACAACTTTGATTTTAAAACATTACTTATTTATTTATTTATCTTCTTTTCTTCTTCTCCTTTTTATTCTTTGAGATAGGGCATCGCTCTGTCACGCAGGCTGGAGTACAGTGGCACGATCACAGCTCACTGCAACCTCTGCCTCCCAGGCTGAAGTGATTCTCCCACGTCAGCCAACGGAGAAGCTGGAACTAGAGGTTTGTGTCCCCATACCCGGATAATTTTTGCATTTTTTGTGGAGACAGTGTTTCGCCATGTTGCCCAGGCTGGCCTCGAACTCCTGGTCTTAAGCAATCCGTCTGCCTCAGCCTCCCCAAGTGCTGGGATTACAGATGTGAGCCACTGCACCTGGCCTATGTTTTCTTATTGCAAAATAAATTTTTTATTATAGAACATTAGAAGATTATACAATTATATTTGATTGGCCTGTGCAACCTATTTTTCGAAGCACCTAAAATAATTTTTCAGAAGTTTGACATGGCTGTGAGTTCTCTGGTATCAGACTTTATACTGGATTGTAGCTTCAGAAACACCACGTTTCAGACGAGCTAAGGGTCCCTCTGGTGGTGAGTAAGGAGAACTCTTCTAGCTCAGTGGGTGGCATGGATTAAACGCTTGTAAAGGTTAAAAACTCTCATTCTGGATTCAAGACGCTGAGTCTGGGCGGGAAAAACGGTGGCGAAAAAATGCAAAAATTATCCGGGTATGGGACACAAACTCTATTTCCAGCTCTCCGTGGCTGACGTGGGAGAATCACTTCAGCCTGGGAGGCAGAGGTTGCAGTGAGCTGTGATCGTGCCACTGTACTCCAGCCTGCGTGACAGAGCGATGCCCTATCCTCAAAGAATAAAAAGGAGAAGAAAAAAGAAGATAAATAAATAAATAAGTAATGTTATAAAATCAAGGTTGGCCAGGCCCAGTGGCTCACGCCTATAATCCCAGCACTTTGGAGGCCAAAGGCAGGCAGATCACTCGAGGTTAGGAATTCCAGACCGCCTAAGCAACGTAGTAAACCCCATCCCTAAGGAAAACACAAAAAAATACAAAAATTAGCCGGGAGTGGTGGCAGGTGTCTATAATCCCAACTACCCCAGAGGCTAATGCACAAGAATCACTTGAACCCAGGGAGGCAGAGTTTGCAGTGAGCCCAGGTCGCACCATTGAACTCCAGTCTAGGTGGACAGAGCAAGACTCCATCTCAAAAAAAAAAAAAAAAAAAAAAGCCAGGTGTGGTGACTCATGCCTGTAATCCCAGCATTTGGAGGCCAAAGGCACGAGGGCCTCATTTGAGGTCAGAGTTCCAAGACCAGCCTGGCCAACATGGTGAAACCTGTCTCTACTAAAATACAAAATTAGCCGGGTAGTGGCGGTGGGCCTATAATCTCAGCTACTCGGAGGCTGAAGCAGGAGACTCGCTTGAGCCCAGAAGGTGGAGCTTGCGGTGAACCAAGATCATGCCATTGCACTCAGGTCTGGGCAACAGAGCGAGACTCGTCTTAAAGGAAAAAAAAAAGCAGAACAATTAACTACCTCTGTCCTTGGCTGACAACCTAAGCAAGAATCCAGAATGAGAGTTTTTACCTTTACAAGCGTTTAATCCATGGCACGTGGTAGAAGAGTTTCTCCTTACTCACCACCAGGGGGGACCCTTAGCTCGTCTGAAACGTGGTGTTTCTGAAGCTACAATCCAGTATAAAGCTTGATACCGGTAACTCACAGCCATGTCAAACTTCTGAAAAATTCATGTTTAGGTGGTCTTCGAGAAAATAGGTTGCACAGGCCCAATCAAATAGTATTAATGGTATAAATTAAGTTTTAGGCATGGGCCGTTGGTGGCTCACACCTGTATCCTAGCCACTTTTTTGGGAGGCTGAGTCCGGGCGGATCACCGAGGTCAGAGATTGAAGACCATTCCTGCGCTTAACATCGGTGAAATTCCCGTCTATACTAAAATATACAAAAAAGTGTTTCTTGGTCTTT